CAGCCACAGATGGGACCTGTGTTTACCGTCTCATCTGAAGGATGGCACCTCTGACAATGCAGCGCTCCCCCCAGCACTGCCCTGGAGCAACAGCCTGGACTGTGAGCGCTGGTAAATGTAATGTTACTTCTAAACCAATTGCTAGCAATATAGAGTAGGAGAGATTTTAACAATAATACGCCTTTTGTTTCATACAGTGCTATATTCAGCATCTCGTTGTGATCAATACCCTGTCAAATTAGGCGACAGATGATAGAACTGACAAGTGTCGGACTAGGAACATTCTCTGGCGTTGCTCATTCTCACAATTCCAAACACATTGATGCTGACTTTGTGCTCAAACCACCACAACAACTCAGAGAGACAGGCAGGTAAACTGCCCTGTCGGTAGCACTCTGATTCAAGAGATTTTGGTTCAAACCCCATGTTGGGACTTAGGACCTTATAAAACACTGTCCAGCGCCTTGAGACGTCCTCCCGACGTGAAAGGCACTATACAAATCCAATCTTGTTGTTGTTGGGACGTGGATAAGCAGACCAGTCACTGGGGACAGGGAATCCTCCCACTCTGCTCCGTTAACCCTGCAAGCCAAAGCCCTAATGTGTAGGGTGGTCTTATCTGGATAAGCAGAGGGAAAGCTGTCGGACAGTGATATCAATGGCAAAGTATGTGGTTTTAGTTGGTTAAAATCCAGCATTTACCCCCATACGCACATTCTGGGGTAGCCAAGCTTTAGCTCTTGTCAATCTGCGCCTAATACTTTCCGGAATTAATGAGCAGGGCGCATGCCTCCCAGGAGAGAGCATTGCATTCCAGAAACGGGAATTCTCAGTATGTAGCTGACAGACATATGTGGAATTCTCAGTTTGGCTTGGCGGCATGGTGATGGGTTTCCGCACGTACTCCACATCTTGAGCTCACAGTCCAGACTGACTGTCCAGTGTTTGCGGGACATTGCTATGTGCAAATAGGCTGCCATGTTTGTCTACAAAATATACAGCCATTAGATTTTACAGCAAATGCTTTTCGAGTACTCTGGGACCCTCCCCTGCACAACATCGCTATATAAATGTATAAATGCAAGTTGTTGTTGTAAACCTCGTGAGGTGTTTCAAATGTTCGCATGACATTTCAAACTGGGCTGTATTAAAAGAGCAATACTGAACCGAAATAGTGGGGTAATCCTGCCACTTTATAAATCACTGATGCAACTGCAATTGGAATACTGTGTGCAGTTCTGGTCACCACAATACAAAAAGGATATTGCAGAGATTGAGAGGAGACAGAGGAGGGAAAACAGAATAATTGAGGGGATGGAAGGACTGGACTACGAGGAGCGATTAGGAAAACTGGTCATGTTCACACTGGAGAAGAGAAGGTTGAGGGGCGATATGATTGCAGTTTTCTGTATTCTGAAGATTCTGAAGGAACTAGATAATGTAGACCATGATAAGCTTTTTTATCTGCTACTGAGCAGTAGAACCAGTGGTCACGGCCTGCGATGAAGACGGGTAAATTCAGAACAAATCTGCGGAAACACTACTTCAGTGAGTGAGAGGTAAACATATGGAACGGGTTCCCAGGGGAGACGGTGGAAGCAGAAAGTGTTGTTTGTTTCAAAAACAAATTAGATAGATTTCTGTTAGGAAACAATATCTCAGGATACAGTATTTAGTTTGGGACATGACATGTGAAGCGACTGCCAGGATAGTGGAAGGCGAACTAGATGGACCTTGGTCTTCTTTCGCCAGCAAATTCTTATATTAGCTCCCAGGAAGTCCACTTGAAAAGACACAGTAATCAACAATGCAGCGCTCCCCACTCAGCACTGTCAGCGTCAGCCTAGACTGTAAGCTCAGAGTCCCTGACGTGGGGCTTGAATTCACAACCTTCTGACTCAGAGGCCGACTGAGGTAGGCTGAGACACTAGCAATTCACAGCAATTCTTTTTCTCTTGGAGGTGCCGCCACATTTCATAATAATAAGATATAGCGCCTTATCACGGCGTTGAGACGTCTCAAAGGGCTTCAAAGAATACATTGTAAAGAGAATTGGCTATGTTTTATGGGTGAAATTTGGCAGGAGTTGGTGGGACAAATTTGTCAAAGGTTTTAACCACTCCAACCACTACACAAAGGGATTTAATTGAGATAGGAAGTGAAGGTCAGATTTCTCCATTATAAATCGCCATTTACAGACAGAAAGACTGTTCCTGTTGCTCCCATTATGTCACGGATCCAACAATTCCACCGCCAAACACATAGTCTTCACAGCAATCTCTGCGGATCCTAGCAACGGAATCCCTCTCACATGAAGAGAGTGGAACAATCTCAGGGACAAGAGACAATATCAACTGGGGCTGGGGGCAGGAGGTGGGTGGAGTAAGTTGGTCTCCTCGGAGCTGAACTGGCTTCAAGGTGATGCTTGGCAACTGAATGTCGGTGTTAAGTCCATCCTCAAGCCTGGCTCATGGGCACACCAGTGACTGGAAACAGTGATTCTTCCAACTCAGCTTCTGTTTACCCCGCAAGCCAAAGCCCTAATGGGTAGGGTGGCCCGAGCTGGACAAGCAGCGGGGAAGCTTGCCAGACAGTGCTCTCAATGGCAAGCGCTGCATTCCATTCCAGACACACGGAAATTTCCATGTGTAGGTGGTACACTTGGAACTTGCAGTCTGGTTACTCTTAAGTACGGCACTATTGGAAAAGAGAAGGGACTTGTTCTCTCCGGGGTCTTGGCCGACAATCCTCCAGATACAATTGATCATTGTCTCAGGCGCTATGTGAATGCAATTTGTTGTTTGTGGGACATTGCGAGAGGCAAATTGGCTGTCGTGATCATCTGCACAACACAGTACTACACTTTACAGTAAAATCCAGCAATTGGCTGCCACATTTCGCCCACAAAAATACACAGTCAATTCATTTTACAGTATATTCTGTGAAACGCTTTGAGACGCCTCGAAAATGTGTCAAGCCGCTATATCAAATGCAAGGATTATTATTATTATAAGATTCTCAAGATTTGCTGTAAAATGCTATATAAATGAGAAGATGCTCTTCAGAATGGTTTATTTTGGGGGTCAACATTTTGGTCAGCCGGGTATCTGTCACCATCACCATGATCAGCCAAATGTCTGACACACATAGACACCCATTACCATAAGTGGGGTAACTACTGGAGTCTAACCAGCTAAAGCCATATAGCTTTGAGCTCACGTGGTGTTTGAAGCCAACTTTCCACTTCTAGTGATGAGGGCTGGCAACTCCCAGTGATACTACAACGGTCCTCGTTGCTCTCCCACCATCCCCACCAAAACCCCCTCCCTCACACCGCGTGTCTGTGTGGGCAGCTGTAGTTGTCTCTCGCTCAGGTTAACGTTTATGACACGGACTGTCTGATGAAAGAATCAGCTGTCCTGAAATACCCTGTGGTCCACCCAGCTGTCAGAGATACCAACATGGACTCAGAGAGGAAATCAGTTTAATACTGTACTCAAACCGTACTTTTACTTACAATTACACAGACCATTACAACACTGAAACACCCAAGCCTCCAGCTCTCTATTCCACATCCCTCTATTCCCTTCCCCCACGCCCCTCTCCCACATCCCTCAATTTCCCTCTCCCAAAACCCTCTATTCCCCTGTAAGTGAAGCCTTCCTCCAAACCTCCCTTTTATAGCTGTTACTGACTGGCTGAAGGTGACATCCTCCCGATGTCTAAGGCGCTGTGTAAATGCAATTTCTTGTTGTTGTTGACGACACTCCAGCGCAGTGCTGGGGAGAGCACTGTATTGTCGAAGGTGCTGTCCTTCACATGAGACGTAAGCTCAGTATTTAATGTGATCTTGAATCGTCCCCTCCTTTAAGTAGTGATACCATCAGATCCACAGTTTACTGTTTCTGTCAGCACAGTAATGCTATTTATTCCAGTAACTACTGTATATATTTCTCAATGATTTATCTGTGTTTCAAATCAAACACATATTCTCTAGCTCCCAGATTTGTGGCCCGTGTGTACGTACACGTCACAAAGCCTTATGTCGGGGACTTTGAGCTTGTCGACTGTTTGTAGGACACTGCTGTGTGCAATTGGCTGCCGCGTTTCGCCCACAAAATACAGTCACTCCGCTTTACAATATATTCTGTGAAGTGCTTTGAAACGTCTCAACAGCGTGATAGGGCGATATATCAAATGCAAGGATTATTATTATTACCCTCTGGAACTCCATCCCAGAGCCCCTCCACCTCTCCCCCTCTCTTGCCTCCTTCAACGCTGGTCTCAAGACCTTCCTCTTTGACCGCGCTTTCGGTCATCCTCCCACCCTTCCTGCCCTCCACCCTCTTGATCCCAACCCCCATCTCGGATTCAAACCCTGCATTGTCAGCACCTTGGGACATCCACCCAATGTCTCAGGCGCTGTGTGAATGCAATTTGTTGTTGTCAACACTCCAGCACAGGACTGGGGGGAGCGCTGCATTTTCAAAGGGGCCGTCTTTCACATGAAACGTTAAACTGAGGTCCCATCTATGCCTGTTCAGGTGGACGTTAAAGATCCCGTGACACTATTGGAAAAGAGAAGGGAGTTTCTCTCTCTCGGTATCCTGATCGACAATCCCGACCAGATAAAATTGCTCGCTCGCTTCATGGCTGTTTGTGGGACCTTGGCTGCTGCCTTCACCTACAAACACACCGTCACTACACTTTACAGTATCCTGTGAAGGGCTTTGAGACATCCTCCTGATATGGAAAATGCTCCATCAAATGCAATAATTATTATTATTATTATTATTATTACACTGCATGTAAGAGAGCTAGACTTGAGATATTTAATCCGACATTATTAAAAAAAGTAAATCCATTTGGTGTTTTCACCTGAGCAAGTCATTTCATCACTCCAAGAGTCACATCAGCACTGAGATCACTCACCCAGAGGTGAGCTCCCTCCCTCTCTCCCTCCCTCCCTCCCTCGCTCCCTCCCTCGCTCGCTCACTCACCTGGGAACTGTTGCATGTTAAAACCAGCCCTCGACGCTCTGTAAAATTTGTGACCAAGTGTCTGAACTAATAGATGTAAGTTGTTGTTGTTGTCTAACCGCGCAGTTTGCTACTCGGCTCGTGGAGGTTAGACATCAAAGGCATCAGGGCAGCCGGAAGCAGCGGTCAGGACAACAGCCCAGGAACCCCAAACACACTCCAGCAAATAAACAGGCAAAACAAGCTGCCGAGAGAGACTGTCTCCCTGTTACACTTCTGACTGTGAGCCACGTAACAGGCACTCCAGCCAGGCAGCCAGCCAGACAGCCGGACAGACAGCCAGCCAGGGCAGAACGCTGACACCAGCCTTGTCTTTCTCTAACGGTTCTTTGATTCCAAACGGATCGAATAACTCTGAACACTCGCCTGCCTCCCGCCCAGGATAACAAACCGCTCGGTGTCAACTGTGACAGCCTTGCAGACGAGTGTGAGGGGCGGGGGGTGGGGAGGGGGCTGGGGGTAGCTCAGTGTGGAGCTGTGCTGTGTCGAAGCACTTCAGCATTGGCACTGTGACTGACATAACAGCAGTTCACTCTCACTCCCACCAACCCCCACCCCAAAGGGCGAGAGCTTTTTATTACTGACTCTAGTCGTCCAGCAGAGCACCTGCTGTAGTCAGTCACACAGCACTGGCAGTATGACAACCCATTGTGTGTGGGTTTCACCATGTCCCAGTCAGTGCTGATGTCATGTTATTTATTGAAGTCCTCGGGATTACTTTACACAATGGCTCCTTTTGTTTCAAACCCCACGGTTTATCTCTCTCTGCCTCAGGTTAGCGAAGGACAAGCGGAATGCACGAGCACCACTCTCCCCCCAGCCCAACCCTCCCCCCCACCCGCACCCCCCCTGCCCCACCGAAAAGCCCCCTTTTTTAAAAAAAACGCTGCATTAAAACAGAACATAATCATTCTTTTGTTTTACACAACATAAATAATACTCCTTGCATTTGAGTGGAGTCCTGTAGCTCAGTGGTTAGAGCACTCGCTTTGCAAGCGAGAGACCTGAGTTCAATTCCAGGCAGAGGCGAAACCTTGGGCAAGTTTCCTTACTCCACAGAGCCTAAAAATTGGTCATTTCCAATCCATGACTGTTTGTGTGACATTGCTGTGCCCAATTGGCTGCCGCGTTTCGCCCACAAATATACAGTCAATTCACATTACAGTATATTCTGTGAAGCACTTTGGGACGTCCTCCTGACGTGAAAAGCGCTATATCAAATGCAAGGATTATTATTATTATTATTATTATTATTGATATAGCGCCTGATCACATCGGTGAGACGTCTCGAAGGATAAGTGATCCGCCAATCAACTAACAACCAGGTTCCCACTTACTGCTGGGTAAACAGTCACGCGTGGAGTAAGAAAACTTGCCTAAGATTTCTCCCCGACCCAGAATCGAATCCAGGCAAGCGCACTAACCACTACACTACGGGTTTTGACATCAACAACAAAAATAAGTTGCATTTATACAGCACTTTTCACATCGGGCGGATGTCACAAAGCGCTGGACAATGAGGGGTTTGCACCTGAGCTGGGCATTGGGATTAGAGAGGGGTGGAGGGCAGGGAGGGGCAGGAAGGTGACCGAAAAGGAGTGCAAAAGGAGGTTCTTGAGACGGGCCTTGAAGGAGGTAAGGGGAGCCAGTGGAGCTGTGTGTGGGTGAGGTGATGGGGTCATGGAGCTTAGTACGGGAGAGGACACGAGCTGCAGGGTTCTGGATGATCTGCACCCTGTGAAGGGAAGAGTGACGGGAAGTCCAGCGATCAGGTTGTTAGCGTAGTCAAACCTGGATTTAATGAAAGGGTGCAATGAGGGGTTCGGCGGCCTAAGGGGAGAAATGGAGGTGGAGCCTGGTGATGTTGCGGAGGTGGGGGAAGGCAGAGTGGGTCATGGCATGGATGTGGGGTTTAAAATACTGTTGCGAGTCAAACAAGACACCAAGTTTCCGTACTGGTACACAACATCAGAAGGACATCTCAAAGCTCTTCAGACACTCTCATTGCTCTATACCCTCATACTGAACTTCATGTTGTGAATCCCATTCATTCAAAATTCTGCCACCCATAACCCCACACACACCAAACTCCGTAACCCCATCACTCCAGTCCTCACCAGACTCCAATGCAGAACAGATTGATTTCAAAATCCTCACACTCGCGTATAAATGCCTTCATGCCCTGGCACCCCCCTACCTCTTTGACCATCTTATTTCCCACTCCACCACAAGCCCCTTCTGCTTGACTGGCTCCAGCCTCCAGTCCCTCGTGCCCTCCCTTCCCCATTGGAGGCTCTGCTTTCAGCCACTACACCCCAAAACTCTGAAATCGCTCCATCTTGCCCCCTCCTTCCCCTCTTAACTCTGGAACTCTCTGCCTCAATCTCTTTGCCTTGCCCCCTCCTTGTCCATCTTCAGATCACACCTGAAGACCTTCTTTTTAAGGACCATGCTTAAGGTCACCTCCCCCACCTCGGCTAGGTGTCAAGCTCCGCCATTGTCAAGTGATCTGGGACGTACCCTGAATGAAGGTTGATGAGTATAAATGCAAATTGTTCTTGTTGTATATCTAGAGTCATCTCAGTCCATGCAAAAGATAGTGCCTCATTTATCATATTGTGACCTTCAGTCATGGAAACTAATAAGCGTTCGTAGGAAAACAGGAGCAGTTTGGAAGCCATTCAGCCCCTGCAGGCTGTTCTGGCAGTTTATCAGATTGCGGCAGATCTTTTAATCCCAGTGCCCAGCCTTCTCCCACACACCCTTTACTCCCTCCCTTCCCACAGTCTGTGTCTGTGTCTCTGTTAAACATCTCTATTGATTGTATCTCTACAGCTTTGTGGGGCTGAGCGTCCCACCCCCTCACAGCGCTGTGTGTGACGACATGTTCCCTGCTCTCAGCTCTAACCCTCCTGGCTCTGAGTTTAAGGCTCAGTCCTGGCTCTGAGTTTAAGGCTCAGTCCCAGAGGCCAGAGTGGTCCCCTCTCTAACCTGACAAACCCTCTCATTGTTGTACACCAGTGTACACCATCAGTCACATCCCCCCATAACCTGCTATGCTCTGAGCACCATAAATAATCCCAGTCACCAGCCTCTTACCATCAGAGTAAAATATGGATGAAGAAAACCCCTCGGCCCTTCGATCTTCTCCCTCCAGAACACCCACCCTAACAACCCCCATCAGAGCATCCAGCTGCTTTGTAAACGAGTCCCAGTATCCTGACCTCAACCCACCCTTCCTGGTAACCAGTTCCAGTCATTAATTACCCTCTGGGTAAAGAAACACTTCCTGGTGTCTGTCCTGAAATTGCCCCTTTACAGCTCTAACCCTGTGTCCTCTTGTTCTACTGTCTCGGTGCATCTGAAAGCAATGATCTGGGTTTACTTTTTCAATCCCATTTAAAATGTAGTCTTTATAAGGTCCCTTTTGAGGCGTCTTGATTGTCAAGATTGAAGGGCTCGAGCTTGGCTAATCGCTACTTAAAATAGCTAGAAAGTTCCTAACCCTTGTGTCGTGGACTAAGCCCACGTTTCCCAATCAGCCGTTCACACCTGTTGCCCTGCCCCGCCTGACACACAGCCAGCGCTCGGGAGGGTTAGCTGAAGAATTTATGAACCACTCTTTGCCAACAAATCCAAGCCAGCAATGTGAGGAATATTTTGAATGAGTTGTAAATAGTTTGTTGCTAATACTAATAATAAAGTTCCTCAGGGCTCTGTCCTTGGTCCCCTCCTCTTCAATATCTATATGCTTCCTCTTGATGATATCATCCGCAGACTGCAGACATGGGGTCAACTTCCACATGTATGCAGATGACACCCTTGACTCCAGGACCACTGCTGTCCTGACAGAATATCTGTCAGACATTAAGTCTTGGATGAGACCTAACTTTCTGTAGTTGAATGTCAACAAGACTAAGGCTCTCCTGATTGGTTCCTGTCAGCGCCTCCTCCTTCACATCACCATCCAAGGATGCGCACTCCATCTCACTGAGCCAGTCTTGGCATCTTACTTAACCCTCAACTGTCCTTTCTACCCCATATCTGTGCCATGACCCGCTCTGTCTCCCCCCACCTCTGCAACTTCACCTGGCTCCGCCATTGTCGGTGGGGAGGGAGGAGGTGAGGCGGAGGGGCTCTGGGATGGAGTTGTAGAGAGTGGGAGTGGAGGGGAGGCAGAGTGGCTGATACGGGGTCAGGGCGGGCGGGGATGTGATGCAGGCTCATGTTGCCGTAGTAGGGTGGGGCAGGGGGGAAAACAAAGGTGAGAAGCTTTTAGTCTGCCACCACGAGCAGTTAGTGTAAGGAATTCATTCATTATGGAGATCACCCAGGAGGAAAGGGTACACAGTGAATTTATACGGCGGGTAGAATTCACACCATAACAACTCACTTTGTTCCTGTAGTTTTAATACATTCCTGTGGTTAAAGTAAGAAGCAGGTCAGCCTGGACTCAGAAATTTACAGCGCAGAAGAATGTCATTTGGGGAGTCCTGTAGCTTAGTGGTTAGAGCACTCGTCTCGCAAGTGAGAGGACCTGGGTTTGATTCCCAGGCAGGGCGAAAAGTTGGGCAAGCTTCCTTACTCTACACACCCCTGTTGACCTATCAGTCAGTAGGAACCCGGTTAGTCGATTGGCGGATCTTTTTTCTAGCGTTAATAGTCCCTTCAAAAAAAAATTATAAATTGGTCACTTCAATCAACGATTGTTTGTGGGACACTGTTGTGCGCAACTGACTGCCATGTTTCGTCCACAAAATACAGTTAATCCACTTTATCGATGTCATAAAGCACTATTTCAAATGCAAGGATTATTATTATTAATCCCACTGCCTCATACACTCTAACCTCAAACTTCCAATTTTCATATTCATAGCCTATAAATTACGCAGTCACTTCACTACATTGGGGCACTTTGAAACCTCTTCCTGACGTGAAAGACGCAGGATGAAATGTTAGGATTATTATTAATCTGCAGCTGACGTCAGCAACACGTTTTGCCTCAAAATAAGCCAACTTTCAGTCACATGCTGATCAATTATTATTTTTATTCAAAAACTAATAATAATTTGGTCACTCAATCCACGACTGTTTGTGGGACGCTGCTGTGCACAATTAGCTGCCGCATTTCGCCCACAAAATATACAGTCAATTCACTTTACAGTATATTCTGTGAAGCGCTTTGAGATGTCGCAAAGAAGTGATAGAGCGTTATATCAAATGCAAGGATTATTATTATTATTATCACCCTGTACATGAGGCCACACAGTGGCAGCTGA